GAACAATAGGGCTTCAGGATACAGAGATGGAGGCATGGTTTTAAGGGGTCAAAGAGGGGAATAGTGTTAAGATGCTTGGCTGTCTTTTGAATCTTGGTTTCCCTTGCCTATCATTGTAAAATAGACACTTGAGGTAGGGAGAAAGGAATAGCCAGAATCATCACTACAGAAAGCTTGTAAGTCAGTCTTCAGCCTGTAACTGATTGGGATACCTTAAAGGGGGCTAGAAATTGCCCAGTGAAAGAGACTTCCTGTGGTGCCTTTACATTGCACAAAATCATAGGTTGAATCCAGAAGCCCATCCAGAACCGACTGAGGTAGGAAATTTTCACTGGAAAAGACGAGTAGACCAGCCTGGTGAGGCTAGCAGAACAGAAGATACTTCATGAAAGAAAGACCGGCAGGAAAAATCTGAAACAATAATGGCAGTCTGATTGATTACTATAAGAATAAATAAGCTGCTCACCCAGGAGCCATCATGGAAAGTGGTCGGGACCCTCAGAGCAAACCCATTTCCAAGACTGAGACTCAAGGGGAATATATGAGCAGGTATGTGGTCTGGCGGGTGACCATATTGGTCAGCAATAAGGGAAGAGGGGGAAAAAACAGCAACGAAGTTGTGATCTAAGCCCTACCACATTCAGTAGACCCCTGTGAACCTGGGTGGAGACCTAGATGGCCAACAGTACAGCAAGACCTGGGGACTCCTGGGCCTACAGGCAGTGACATGGCCACAGAGGACTAGAGTAGAGATTGAAGTGTCTAGCTGAGGGGAGATGCATAAGAACACCCATACTTGCAGATAGTACCCACTTGATCTGGCTTCAATGGCTGGATGATCAGAACTTGACTAGAAGAAGAAAGAAGAGGGGGAAAAAAAAAGAGTAACCTTCTACAATTTGATGAACTTTACCTATTCTTATTGATGTAGTAGCTCAAAAAAGGGAACAAATCTTTATAGCAAGTATCACTCCCACCCCCTTGGTACAAAGGGTTGACAGGGGTGGGCAACATAGACATTCAAAGTGGGGAGAGTGGCTATAAAGGCAAGAAGTGACTGGCTTACAAGCTTTCAAGAGGGTGCCTAGTTCCAGATGGAGTGGGGGAAGGTAGAATCACCACTGAATGATTTCCAATCCATTTGGACCGGGCTGGCGAAAAGATATGGGGATAAGACTCTTGTGGTACAATGGTGAAGAATTGCCATCAGGACTGACTGTGAGACTAGGAAATATAGAGGTAGGTGGGGTTTTTTGCTTTTGTTTTTTTGACTTCAGACATGTTTTATTATAATTTTATACAGTCTAAATAAATTTGAACTTGTATTTATTTGGGTTCAGTTATAACAGGTTGTTGTTGTTGTTAAGTGCCATCAAGTCGGGTCCGACCCATAGCGACCCTATACAGGGTTTCCGAGGGTGTAAATCTTTACGGGAGTAGAAAGCCTCATCTTTCTCCCGCAGAGCGGCTGGTAGTTTGGAACCACTGACCTTAAGGTTTGCAGCCCGATTCGTAACCACTACGCTACCAGTTATAACATAGCATAATACAAGCAAAGCACTGGTCCTTTGAAATGAAGCAGGCAATCACCATTCAATAAATACACTTGATTTATTTTGTATAAAAGGGTTATGTTTACAACCAAACTTTTATAAAAAGTTTAGCATGAATAAGTACATCATTACACTTTTTTTTGCAGAAATATACATCTCTGCCACTATACAAGAAAACTCTAATGAAAGAGTTTACAAGGATTCTCTCTCTCTCTCTCTCTCTCTCTCTCTCTCTATATATATATATATATATATATATATATATATATATATATATATATATATATATATTTATATATAAATATATACACAGCATTCAGTAGGCTTGCGTTAAAAATGTAATTTCTTACCAAAAGACTTCATTTAAGTAACTGAACACTGGATCCTTCTGGTATTCATGCTCCACCTTTGGAATAAGGTAAAGTCTGCTTAAATTGGGCAATGCCTTGTGATTTTAATGTTTTTGCTCCCCATGGTGGGAATAGTATATAAAGAAATCCTTCCATTTGCTGAAAGGGCATTGAAACGGTTTTTTTCATAAATAACTATTATCAGTCCAGGTCATTCTCGAGGAGACCCTGGGGAAGATGATCATTTAGTTTTCTATTTTTTTTTTTTTTAATGGTCCATTCTATTTGTTGTTGTCTTCCCCTGTGAAATGGTTGAAAAATTAAGTTCAGCGCCTTAAAAGATCCTGTAAATTTGTTGTTGTTGTGCAAACAACAACAACATAAAACCCACACAGTCATGAACACCGTTTACTTAGCCACAGAATGCTTTGATGTCATTTGACATTAACTCTGACAGGAATTCAAAAGCCTGTAAGGACAGAATACTGATATCCGTGTTGATGGTGGTCAGCGGCGTCCTGGAGGATGGGTTTTGCCTAGGCCTCTGGTGGTGAAGGCTGACAATAGTGGGGTGCAAATCCAGTGCGATCTGCAGGTCCAAGATGTAGTCGATGACGTGCTGCAGGTTTTCCATCTTGCTCACCTTCTTGTTCTGGGGGATGCTGGGCACCAGCTCCTTGAGCTTGGAATAACAGTCGTTCATGTTGTACAGCAGATTGATTGGGTCATCCACCGGGGTTTTGCACTGGGAAATACCCAGGTTGTGGTCCAAAAGGCTGTTTTTCCTAACAGACCTCACTGGACTGAACGCTTTTATGTTGAATGTGGGTGGAAAGAGAAAATGAACTAACAAGGGAGTCAATTAGCCCGGAGTTCAGGCATCCTCCCCCACCGCCTGCCGCACTGCCTTTACTCTGCAGTGAGATCACCTGAGAATGAATCTAGAGGTAGATGTTCTTCGACAAAAGGAGGAGAGTGATTGATTTTGCAGCTCAGGAGCAGAGGTCCCTGGGACCATCAAGTGAGAAGAACGGAGAGCAAGACTCTACCCCGAGAAGCAGTGACGTCAGGGATAGAGACAGAGATGATGACATGGACAGATGGAGTGGCTGGGGACACTGGACTCAGGGAAGGAGAAGGGCTGTGTACTGGCGCACCCTTTGGGGTTATTTGATGAGCATGGAGGGGATTGTAATCATTGAAATGAAACGAAACACCATCGGATGAGTGTAAAGCTGATGTTCTGCCATGCAAATCTCACAATAAAAATGTAAAAAAAAATTGTATTGATATGTCTTTTTTGTTGTGATTTCCAAAATACAATATGTCAAACAAATGCAACTACCTTAACATAAAAATAAGAGGAATAGAAGCAGTAATGAAGTTGCAAACTCTAATAAATTATATTACCTTTTCATGCTTAGTTTATGTTAAAATATTAGACTTTAGGAAGGGAAGATATTAAGTGTTCCCCTGATGGCAGTGAAATACATATAAGATACCAAGAAAAAAAAATCTTTGTCACTGATGGATGGAGCTCTCAGTAGTATAATAATTATTTTTAAATATACACCTACTATCATCCAAGAAGTTCAAGGCTCTTTCTAGTATTTAGAGTCACAGTAGTATTCTACTCCTGATTCCTCTACACTCAGCTAATACTTACAGAGCAAATAGAAGTGTGCTAGTTTAATTCAATGCAACTGCAAAGATTTTAATGAGATTTTGGTGATAGACTCCTTATTGTTGTTGTTGTTAGGTGCCATTAAGTCGGTATCAACTCATAACGAAATTATGCACAACACAATTAAACACAGTCCAGTTCTGTACCAACCTCACAATTGTTACTCTTAAGCCCATTGCTGCTGCCACTGTGCCAATCCATCCCTTTTTGGCTGACCCTGTACTTTACTAAGCATGATGTTCTTTGCCAGAAATTGGTAACTCCTGATAATATGTTCAGAGTAGGCTTGACTGAGAGTCTTAGTGTGATGCCATGGGATAAAGCACTGGACTACAAGGTCAGTTTGAACCACAAGGTCAGTGATTCAAACTCACCAGATACTCCTAGAAAATCCTATATAGGGTTACTATGTGTCTAAACAGACTTGACGACACTTAAAACCAACAATTGACAAAATCTGGTCATCTTAGTGGCAACAAGAAATATTCAAATAGTACTTCTTCCAACACAGATTTGTTTTGTTGGTGGTCCATGATACTTTAATATTCTCCTCCAACACCATAGCTCAAATGCATCAATTCTTCTATAGTATGCAGATGATACAAACTTGCTTGCTGAAAGTAAAGAGGACTTAAAATATTTACTGATGAAGATCAAAGAGCACAGCCTTTGGTAAGGATTGCATCTCAATGTAAAGAAAACAAAAATCCTCACCACTGGACCAATAAACAACATTTTTTTCAAAGGAGAAAAGATTGAAGTTATCAAGAACTTCATTCTTGGATCAATTATGAACACTCAAGGAAGCAATAGTCAAGAAATCAAACGATGTATTGCATTAGGCAAATCTGCGCACAAGACCTTTTTAAAGTGTTGAAGAACAAAGACATCAGCTTGAAGACTAAGGTGTGCCTGATGCAAGCCATGGTATTTTCAATAACCTAATTTGCATGTGATAGCTGGACAGAGAATAAGGAAGACTGTAGAAGAGTTGATGTTTTTGAGTTAAGGTTTTGGAGGAAAATATTGAAAGTGCCATGACCTGCCAAGAGAACAAACAGATCTGTCTTGGAAGAAGTGCATCCAGAGTGCTCCTTGAAGGACAGGATGGCCAACTTCATCTCTCATATTTAGGATATATTGTCAGGAGGGACCAGTCACTGGAGAAGGATACCATGTGTGGTAAGGTGGAGGGTCAGAGAAAAAGAGAAAGACCCCAGAGAAATAGATTGTCCATGTGGAAGCATCAAACTCAAGCGTGGCAACAATAATGAGGCTGGCCCAGGATTGGTCAGTGTTTCATTCTGCTGTGCATAAGGTCACTATGAGTCAGTACCGACTAGATGGTACCTAACAACAACAACAACAATCCTTAATTCATTGTCCAACTTTCGCATGCACATGAGGTCATTGAAAATACCATGGCTTGTGTCAGGCACACCTTAGCCCTCAAACTGACATCTTTGCTCTTGAACACTTTAAAGAGGTCTTGAGCAGCAGATTCGCCTAATACAATATGTTGTTTGATTCCTTGACTACTGCTTCCACCAGTATTGATGGTTGATCCAAACAAAATGAAGTCTTGGACAACTTCAATTTTCACTCCATTAAACTTGATGGTCCAGTGGTGATTTTTTTTTTGTTTGTTTGTTTTTGTTTTTTTGTCTTCTATACATTACCACTATTATTCAAATTTATGCACTAACCACTAAAGCCAGTAAGGACGAAATAGAAGAATTCTATCAACTTCTTCAATCTGAAATTGATCAAACATACAATCAAGATGTATTATTCATTACTGGTGATTGGAATGCAAAGGTTGGGAGCAAAGAGGAAGGATGGGCAGTTGGAAAATTGTTGGGGACCAAAAGGCTTACAGGCCTCATAAAACTTAAAGAGTGTCAGAACTGCTCCTTATATGATTATTCAGCTATGTTTTATATTAACTTAGAACATGAGCTCTTGATTATCCATGTACATTAATAAAACCGAATTTTTCCCTAGAACCAGGATAGTAAAACTTCCTCAGAGGACGAACAAGGACAGGTTTACTGGGGTTAAGCAGGGAGGTTCTGGAGAGGAACTACCCAGGGTGTTCACTTGGGGTGGAGTGGTAAATTCTGGGAATATAACATTAAGGACAATGGTGGCAACTCCCTCGGACAGCCCTGGGTTTAATCAGTTTGACCTATATGTTCTCCTTCCTCCTGAAAGCTTAATTAAGCCAGGTATCTGAAACAGCTTGACTTTCTTCAGACCTTTTGAAATCCTTTTTACCTTTATTAGGTGCTATAGGTATGTTAATTAGCCTTGAGAAACCTCGAGCTGCTGCCCTGGGATTTGAACCTGAAAAGCACTATATAAATTTGCTTGAATTTCTAGAAAATTAAGGATGTTAGATTATCAAGACAATTTGTGATGTATATTTTAGAAATTTGTTCCTATAAAACATTTTGTCCTGTTTTGAATGATTAATCACATTTCACTTCTGTACCATGTCTTAATAATCCCCTCCTTCCTTTGTGTAAGGTCCCTCCCTGAAATAAAAGACGGACACAGACTGAAGCCCGCATGCATTACTGCTTGCAGGGGCATGGAGAGTCTGTCTGCTGGTTTTGCATCCACTCTGGTCTCTGAGTGTTTCTTTTCTCTCTTGCCTCTCCAGACATCCCACCTAGGGTTAGTTTTGTGTGCAATGTCTGCCCCCGAGCAGTCTGTCTGGCAGCTTGCATCAAACCTGTTTGCCTGTCTTCTTTGTGTCTGTTTTCTCTGTCTTCTTTGTGTCTGTTTTCTCTCTCTCTCTCTCTCTCTCTCTCTCTCTCTCTCTCTCTCTCTCGTCACCAGACACGCCCACCTTCGTGTACTCACCCCCTTGTCGAGGCCAGACCCCTGCAGAAAATATGGTTTTGGTTATAGAAATAAGACTGGAGAACGCATGATAGAATTCTGCAAAATCAATGATTTGTTCATTTCAAATACCTTCTTTAGACAGCATAAGAGATGACTATGCACATGGACTTCACCAGATAAAATACATAGAAATCAAATTAACTACATCCATGGAAAGAAATGAAGGGAAAGCTCCATATCATCAGTCAACACAAGGCCTAGGGCAAACTGTGGAACAGACCATCAATTACTCATATGCAAATTCAAACTGAAGCTGGAGAAAATGAAAAGAGGTTCACAAGAGACAAAATATGACCTTGAATATATGCCACCTGCATTTAATGATCATCTGAAGAACAGATTTGAAACATTAAACACTAAAGACCAAAGGCCAGAAAAATTGTGGGATGACATCAAGAACATCATACATTAAGAAACCAAAAAGTCATTGAGAAGACAAGAAAAAAGGAAAAGGTCAAAATGGATGTCAGTAGAGACACTGAAACTTGTTCTCCATTGTAGAGATGTTAAAGCAAATGGAGACATGAGGAGGTTCAAGAGCTGAACAGAAAATTTCCAAGATTAGCTTGAGAAGATAGAGTCAAATATTATAATAAAATGTGCAAAGATCTGGAATCAGAAAACCAAAAAGGATGAACATGCACAGCATTTCTGAAGCTGAGGGAACTGAAGACAAAATTCAAGCCTCGACTTTTGCTATTGAAAGATTCTCTGGGAAAATTATTAAATGATGCAGAAAGCATGAAGAGAAGATGGAATGAATACACAGAATTACTGTACCAAAAGGAAATGGTTAACGTTCAACCATTTCAAGAGGTAGCATATGATCCAGAGCCAATGATACTAAAGGAGGAAGTCTAAGGTGCATTGAAGGAATTGGCAAAGAACAAGGCACCAGGAATTGATGGAATAAAAATTGAAATCTTTCAAGAAAGTGAGGCAGCACAGGATGCACTCACTCATCTCTGCCAAGAAATTTGGAACACAACTATCTGGCTGAATGATTGGAAGAGATCCATATTTGTGCCCATTCTAAAGAGATGTAACCTAACGGAATGCAGAAATCATCAGACAATCTCTTTGATAACCCATGCGAGTCAAGTTTTACTAAAGGTAATGAAGAGATGGCTGCAAGCATATATTGTCAGAGAACTTCCAGAAGTTCAAGCCGGATTCAGGAGAGGCTGTGGAATGAGGGATATCATTGGTGATATCTGATGGATCCTGGCTGAAAGCAGAGAATATCACAAAA